TATTTCTGACAGGCCACTAATTAACATGTTAGCACATACCTGTGTATTCAAAGCAGCTTTTAGGCCTGAGCTTACTACCCTTTACACTATTTCAGGGAAGGATTTGTATTGTATTCTGCGGTTTCAACTGTGCCAAGCAGCAATTGATAAGCAGCAACCATAACAATGATGGGAGCAGCAGGCATGACACCCCCTGCATAGATGAGAAAACTGATTCTCAGTATAAACTTATGCCACCCCAAAGATGCCCAGCAAATTTACCATTTATTGTCTGAGGTGGAAATCACCTTCCATGAGAGTGAAGGCCAAAGCTCCCCTGTAACTGACGATGACCAAGCCCTGCAAAGCCAAGAGTGGCAGGCTGGGGATTAGAACTCATGTCTTTGGCTCATGTTCGCTCTCTGTGCAGCACCCTGGGACCCGCTCCCCTGAGAATGAACACCAACCTGAGCAACCCAGGTGTCCCCACTCTGACACAATAAGAACTGGACCCTCATCTGGTCCAGGTAGCCTCATCCTGGGGGATGCCTTTCTCCATTTGGACATTTTACTATGTATTTAGGGAGAGATGACAAACTGCAGAACAACTTATCAGGTTAATTATGCTTTTAAAAACATCACAGACAAGGAGCAAAGTGATGGGGAGGCTAAATGAGGAACTCGGTGGTGGCTGAGTCTGGCATTCTTTGCCCTTCTTCGGGTCTGCAGGTGGGCGTTTCTGCCCTTTCCTGGGCCTCTCCTTTCTGCACAACACGAGAGACAGATCACCTTAAAACACAGCCTTCCTCCTGTACACGCCCAAAGCCTTCAGTGGCTCCCCATCTTCTATCTTCTCACCTACAAACATCCTGTTCCACATACACTGGGTGATTCCTGCATGAGAGGAAGAAATGCTTCAGTGGTCTCGGCTGAGCCAGAAGGACTATTGCTCTTCCTCACCTCCCATCCTTCCTCACCTCCCTCCCATCCTCCCCTTACTCCACCCCACTCCCTGCCCTGAGTCAATTCCTCACAGGCAAGTTCCAAACACTGACTGCACTCTGACCAGAAGGGCAGAAAACTGCAGAGGAAATGATCCATGAATATGCACGGCATTTGCCTCTTCAACCTGCGGTCACCCTCTGGGCTCCTGTTTTGCTTCTAAAACAACTCTGTGCCACAGAACTTCAACTACCACCAGGTCTTCAACATGCTGCACTTAAGAAAACAACAGTAACAACTGTAAAACTATCTCCCTTATCCCTGTAAAATGTTCTCTCGCTGCTTTTGTATATTCCAACCAACTGCGATTTGGACCATTGAGCCTGCCCTCTGGTATGCGTCACCGACCAATAAGGGATAAAGGGAATCTAGATGCATCTAGATCCCAGGCACTGTGCTAGGTGCCAAGCAAACACATGTGAATGAAACACAGTCTTTCAACTTCTATGAGCTCAGCAGAATGTGTGAATGGGAGGCTCCGGTGACTACAGTAATAGGCTCTGCGCCAAGTGACAAGGGAACCACATGGAGACTCCTGGCTGGGTTTGGGAGGAGAATAGTGGGCAAACCATAAAGGAGGGTGAATTTAAGATTTTTGAAAAGCTATAGTCCAAATTCTAAGATCATCAAAGCTGAAAAATAGGCATATTCTACGACCCAGTAAATCTACTCCTAAGAGTATATATTCAACAGAAATATGGGCACCAAGAAGAACATGCAAGAATATTCACGGCAGCCCTATTCATAAGATCCCAAATGAGAAACCACACAAATGTCCATCAACAGGGAAATGGATAAGTAGGTTGTGGAAAATTCTCACAATGGAATGAATGATCTATAACTACACACAGTGTGGGTGAACCTCAAATATGTAATTTGAGCAAAAGACAGACACAGAAGATTATATTCTATATAATTCTATGTATATGAAATACAAAATCAGACAAAACTAACCTATGGCATAGGACTCAGGAGAGTGGTCAGTATAGGGGAGGGAATCATGACATGAAGAAGCCATGAGAAGCTTTGTGCTGTCATGCTCAGTTTCCTAATCTGGGTGTAGGTTACAATGGTGTGTTTAGTTTGTAAAAATATATAATGCTGGGCTGGGGGTGGTGGCTCATGCCTGTAATCCCAGCACTTTGGGAGGCCGAGGCGGGCGGATCACAAGATCAGGAAATCCAGACCATCCTGGCTAACACGGTGAAACCCCATCTCTACTAAAAATACAAAAAATTAGCCAAGTGTGGTGGCACGTGCCTGTAGTCTCAGCTACTCGGGAGGCTGAGGCAGGAGAATCACTTGAACTCAGGAGGTGGGGATTGCAGTGAACCAAAATGGCACCACCGCACTCCAGCCTGGGCGACAGAGTAAGACTCTATCAAAAAAACACCAAAAACAAAAAAACAAAAAACAAAACAAAACAAAACAAAAAACATAATGCTGGACATTGCAAATATGTGCACCTTCTGTGTGGACCTCAGACTTGAATAAAAAGAAAAAATTAAGTATGTCTATTGCCTTAGTCCATTCAGATTGCTATAATAAAATATCATAAACTGGATGATTTATAAACACCACATACTTATTTCTCACAGTTCTAGGGGCTGGCAAATCCAAGATCAAGGCACCAACAGATTGGGTGTCTGGTGAGAACCCACTTTGTGGTTCATAGATGGCCATCTTTCACTGTGTCACCACATGGCAGAAGGGACAGGGAGCACTCTCAGGCCTCTATTATAAGGGCACTAATCCCAATCATCAGGGCTTCACCCATATGACCTAATCGCCTCCCAAAGATCCACTTCCTAGTACCATTACCTTGGGAGTGGGAATTTCAACATATGAGTTGTTGAGTGGACACAACATTCGGACTGTAACAGCTGTTTAGGTAGCTACACAGCTAAATAAGTATTATTTTCCAAATCACATTTCAACTGTTTCTCTACCATTAAGCCATGGGCCAGCAACGGAACCTGGCTTATCCTTCTTGTGTTCTTCCTTTCTTGGCACAAATATGGTGGGTCATCTTCCCAAACAGTAACCTCCCTGGTATAGTTCATTTGGCCTGGTAGGTTGTATTCAAACGATCACTGTATTCACTTATAAATGCTCTCAAACTGGTCCAAGGTCTAATCAAAGCTGGAAATTGATCAAATAATGACTCATTCATGCATTCTAGAATTCAGCCATTCCCTCCTGCTTTTTTAGAAATTAGCATAATTTTCTATTATTTACACGTTCTAGAGAACTATATCATAGACCCCTGCATCATGGAACACCCAGATCCCTGGTCTCCATCTCATTCTCCCTGCTTTCTCAAAGATGATCCATACACAATTCTATTTCCCAGACTATATAATGTAATCCGCTTTATGTAACATAGTATAATTCACTTGGCCCTGGTCTCTCAGTTCTTTTGAAGAAATGAATGTTCTCACACTAATTCCTTGGCCTGTTTGATCTTTACAGGCAGGGAAGGGGGATGCGAGGCAGGATTGGGTCAGCTCCACATTCTCCACATCTGCTCATTGTTTTCTTGCCTTGTTTCAGTTTCCAGAGCTCCTCCCTGCTTCTCCAGCAATTTCAGTCTTCCACACTCCTCTGTGCCTTTGTAAACAGCCTTTTGTTCACTAACAAGAGGAATCTGCAGCCACGTCAGCTCTAAACCAACCTCCCACCATTCTCTGGGTAAAGTCCTACTCAGAAAGAGAATAGGAGGAAGAGGGATGGAGGGGGCTGGAGATGATTGTGTCTGGTGGGAACAGGCAGGGGGACAGTACACAGAGTTCAGAATGGGACAACGAGCCCGCCAAGGCTGCACTGCCAGCCTGGCTGGGTGACCTTGAGCCTATCTGGGCCTGTGACCTCACCATGCAAAGGAGCTGGACCAGAGAATTCTGAGTCCTTTCTAGCTCTAAACACTCTGGCCCTAAGCATCTATATGTTAAACAAAATTGTCCTAACGTTTGTCTCTGGGTACTGAAATATCAGGAGATTTTTATTTTTTCATCTCCATTTTGCGAACAGTCTGTGCTAAGATTACACTACTGTGTTTCTGTTTTGTGTGTATTCAGAAGCACAAAAAGTCTGTGGTTCTAGAAAGGAAATAGAAAAGTTCTTTAAAAACAAAGAAGTGGGGAAATGAAACAAATGTTAAAAGCAGAAGAGAGAGAAAGGTCCAACTGGAGGCCCCAAATCCACCCAGAGCCCTGAAGCCCGGGTTTCCCACCGACAGGCTGCAGTCTTTGTCCGCTCTCTGGCGCCCTCTGCTGGCCTTCTTGGTAACAACGGTTTAATTTGGTTTGCAAAAGTGCTCTGACGCGAATCCACCGTGAACACTGACGGGATTCACGTTCAGCATAAAAATCGCTTTCTGTTTACAGGAAAATCTTGCCCCATACTTGCCTCCATAATTCACTTTTAACTTTGCCTTGCAGTACTAATTGTATTGACCTTTGGGATAATTCAGTCCTTCAAGCATTCCCGGTCCAACATGCCAGGAAGTCTTCTCACGTGTCTTCCACTCCATACCTACCAGTCCTGTTTCCCCATTACCCGATGAAAGTGTGATCCCCCCACCCCCTGCCACACACACACACACACACACACACACACACCCTGTTGGTCCCACCGTCGGGGCGTGGTGGTCCAGGTGAACGCTTGCCTTCTTTTTGAGCTAAACCTCCCCCACAGAGGCTGTCAGCAAAGACTCCTTTGCTGTCCGAGGCTGGCCTTTAGGTGCAGGACACTATGCATGTCCAGCGAGGCTTGTTGAAGCCACATCTGTCATAGATATTGATGGGAAAAGCATTTTCCTTCTAACACGCCTAATTCCAATTCTAAAAGGCACCTCTCCAGTCTTGCTGAACTTCATCAATATTTTCACATAGTTTCCTTAGTAAAGTGTGATGAGAAGGTCCACCCTTCTTAAGATGAAGGAGTGGTCCAGGAAGCCCTGATTGGTCCTGCCAGGGAGGGAAGGGCTGCCTTATTTGGAGACCTGCAGGAATGCAGCTCCTATATAGCTGGGCGGACCTGGCTGCCAAGAGGGTGTGCTGGGGGACTGTGCAGCTCGAGGCTCCAGAGGCACGCTCCAGAGAGAGCCAAGGTACGTGAGGGGCCACTTCTGTGGTCAGGGTTGCTGGTTGCTTATCAAGGCTTTACTCCGGACTGAAAATCATGCAAGGATTTCCTTACTCCCACATCGGGGATCGGTCCCAAGTTCAGGGGAGACTTGCGAGGATACTCAGTCACCACCGGGCTTGCCTTTCTATAAGCTGGTGCTATAATAAAATGCTACTTTAGGTTTGTTGGTTGGGATTTTGTTTTGCCTTTAAGCCTCTGCCTATGAAAATTAATTTCTTTCTCAAGAATGCTGTGCTTTTATTTTTATTTGACTCACCTGAAATGATCTGTTATACCATTGTTCTTATTTAAGATTTCTCGTTAAAAAAGAATGAAATGGAGTATGGCCCGCTATTTAGGAGACTAATGAATGTTTGCTTCGTGCTTGGATCTCTTTGGAGAAAGCCAGTCTGAGTTGACTGTGCTCAGGGGGCAGAGAGAGTGGGGTGAGGGGGCCCAGGTGCTCATGACCACCCTGGGACAGAGACGAGGCGATGTCTCCGAGCAAGGAAAGGTCGGCGAGGCCTCTTCGCAGGCTTCTAGAGATGACTGGGTGTGCTTCTAGAGATCACTTCAGCTGTGTTTTGCCTTTTTTTTTTTTTTTTTTAAATATAAGGACCAATGTGGCATCAGAGTTGAACATTTTAACGGAAGAACATTAGCCACTTTTAGAGATGCTGCAGGGGGAGCGGTGGAGGGTGTGTGAGGAGCTAAACAAGCTCCCTGTCAGCCTCCTCCAGTTCTGGAGCCCCGCGGCCTCACAGTAAATCTTGGCCTAGGAGACAGCTTAGGCAAGCTCCGCTCTGGGAACTCTTTCCGTTTCCCTGATCCACACAGACAAAGACCCAGGTGCTGGAATGCCCTGACAGTTGGCCTTGGGAAGTGGATTTCCCGGTGGCTATTGTAGTTCCAGGAGCCGAATGTGACAGGCAACCTCGAGGGGTGGGGTGAAGGGCTTTTCCATGACATCAGTGGCAGCGTTCGGATGTCCCAGGGCCACCTTGACCCAAGACCCTCCTGGTGTTCCCCCAGGCCCTCCTGTCTTCCCTTTCATCTCGTTTTCTCCAAAATTCCTCAAGGGCTCTGCCCTTTGCCCTTTGTCCAGCTCAGGGGGCATCATGCCCAGTGAGTGAAAAGCACAGTGTGTGAACACTGTCTTCTCCCGAAACCCAGATGGGCAGTGGGGCATGGCTAGTGGACACATGCAGTGCAGCATTCGACAGAGCCCAGTGCAGGTCTGCCACCTCCCCCCTGTGCAGCCTTGGGTAAATTACTTAACTTCTCTGAATCCCAGGACAACATTTATAACATGGAGATAATAATGCACCTACCTCATGTGAGAATTAAGTTAGGCAATGTCATAGAAGGGCTTAACACAGTGGCAGGCATGAAGAAAGTATGTAACAAAAAGCCAGTAGGATAAGCAGATGTCCCCCAGGCGTGAGATTGGAAATGATGCCTGGAGCGCACTTGACCCCTGGACATAGGGGAGACAGGGGTCCCTTTACTACGTTTCCATCTTTCCCGCTCCCCCACCTTCCTCCTCCTCTCTCTCTCATTACTGCAAAGGCCTTTAGGATCAGCAGCCAGTGAATTCCTCATAATGGATGGAAGAATGCACCCAAGACAGTGCCAGCTCACGGCAATAAAGAACAAAGAGGGGAGATTAAAAATACAATCTAAAATCAGGCACCGTGGCTCGTGCCTGTAATCCCAGCACTTGGGAGGCTGAGGTGGGAGGATCACTTGAGCCTGGGCAACATGGTGAGACCCCATTTCTACAAAATATATTTAAAAATTGGCTGGGTGTGGTAGTGTGCGCCTGCAGTCCCAGCTACTCTGGAGGCTGAGGCAAGAGGATTGCTTAAGCCCAGGAGTTCAGCGCTGCGGTGAGCTATGATCATGCCACTGCACTCCAGCCTGAGGCCTGGGCAACAGGGTGAGATCCAGATTCTATCTCTAAAATATGTGTGTGTGTGTATGTATATATGTATATGCATATATACATACACACACACACAAACACACATAGTCCATGCCCACAAGCATTTGATTCCAACTCTTCTATTGTATTTTCCTCCCAGGGATTTCTTGATTTGAAAGACTTGGGAGTATCAAAGAAAACTTACATGTATTAAGTCACCACTCCTTTATTTCCCATGCATATTCAAAGCCTCTGTAATTGCCCTTTGCCATTCTTGTCTGTCTAGGAAAACCAGGACCAGGGCCCTAAGTGAATGTAATCCTAGCAATAGCAAAGGAGCTCAGTGTTCGAGTTAACCTTGCACAGCCCAAACATGGGGAAACAATTATGCTTTTGAGACCACATAAATAGCACAAGGATACAATTCCTTCCTTAAAGTCTCCTGCACTCGGGAGGGGGCAGGGGAGCTCGGGGAGCCTGGTTGGGAGCTGATCCCTGCTGTTTCTCTGGCAGGTTCTGACACGATGAGGCAGCACCTGAGCCGGTGGTGGCTGGCCACTGTCTGCATGCTGCTCCTCAGCCACCTCTCCGTGGTCCAGGCCAGGGGCATTAAGCACAGAATCAAGTGGAACCGGAAGGCTCTGCCCAGCACTGCCCAGATCACCGAGGCCCAGGTGGCTGAGAACCGCCCGGGAGCCTTCATCAAGCAAGGCCGCAAGCTCAACATCGACTTCGGAGCGGAGGGTAACAGGTACTACGAGGCCAACTACTGGCAGTTCCCCGATGGCATCCACTACGACGGCTGCTCCGAGGCCAACGTGACCAAGGAGGTATTTGTCACCGGCTGTATCAACGCCACCCAGGCGGCAAACCAGGGGGAGTTCCAGAAGCCGGACAACAAGCTCCACCAGCGGGTCCTCTGGCGGCTGGTCCAGGAGCTCTGCTCCCTCAAGCGCTGCGAGTTTTGGTTGGAGAGGGGCGCGGGACTTCGGGTCACCATGCACCAGCCAGTGCTCCTCTGCCTGCCGGCTTTCGTCTGGCTCATGGTGAAATAAGCTTGCCAGGAGGCTGGTAGTGCAGAGCGCAGCAGCAACCAAATCCCCGCAAGTGACCCAGCTCTTCTCCCCCAAACCCAGGCATGTTCTGAAGGTGCCCAGGAGCGGCGATGCACTCGCACTGCAAATGCCGCTCCCACATATGCGCCCTGGTATGTGCCTGTGTTCTGATAGATGGGGGACTGTGGCTTCTCCATCACTCCATTCTCAGCCCCTAGCAGAGCGTCTCTATCACTCCATTCTTAGTCCCTAGCAAAGCATCTTATTTCAAAAGAAGGGTAAGTGCTTGCTATTCCCTTCCCTGAATACATTACTACTACTAGATTAGTAGTAATTGCTTGATGAGAAGAACACGTCAGGCACTGTGCCACCTGCTTCACAGCACTTCCCAACAACTCTTAGAAGTAGGTGCATTCCCATTTTACAGATAAGGAAACTGAGGCTCAGAGAGCTGAAGTAGTGCACCTGCATCACCAGCTAGAAAGTGGCAGAGCCAGGATTCAACCCTGGCTTGTCTAACCCCAGGTTTTCTGCTCTGTCCAATTCCAGAGCTGTCTCGTGATCACTTTATGGCTCACAGGGACCCACATCCAAACGTGTATCTCTAATGAAATTGTGGAAGCTCCATGTTTAGAAATAAATGAAAACACCTGAGCTGGTGGCTGTGTACTTTGGTACATGGAGGCTATTTTAATCCTTCTAACTAAACTAAAATAGAATAAAGGAATTAAACTAAAATAGAAGTAAAGCTAGACAAAGGCCCAGAAATCATATTGTAAGGAAATATTGGAAGCTGATTCCCAGAGCAGACCACATATACAGCAGGATATGTCTGTGGCATGAATAAGTTCTTTCTCTTTTTCTTCTTTCTTTCTTTTTTTTTTTTTTTTTTTTTTTTTTTTTTTTTTTTTTTGAGGTGGAGTTTTACTCTTGTCCCCCAGGTTGGAGTGCAATGGCACAATCTCAGCTCACTGCAACTTCTGCCTCCCAGGTTCAAGCACTTTTCGTGCCTCAGCCTCCCGAGTAGCTGGGATTACAGGTGCGTGCTATCATGCCTGGCTAATTTTGTATTTTTAGTAGAGACTGGGTTTCACCATGTTGGCCAGGCTGGTCTCGAACTCCTGATCTCAGGTGATCCACCCACCTGGGCCTCCCATAGTGCTGGGATTAGATTTTTTTTTTTTCCAAAAGAAGGGTAAGTGTTTGCTGTTCCCATCCCTGAAACATTGCATATATTTAAGAAAAAAAAGAAATTTTAATGGCATATTTGCTTCTAATGTCCCCTAAACCTACGTGCATGTTTTATGTGCACCCATACGAGTATCTTTAAATATAATCCCTTTATATCTGTGTTCTGTGCAAAGTCTCTCAGTTCTTTCAAGACAGCCTGGTGAAGGCCATCATCTCTGTAAACCACTTAGCACTACAAAAATCCAATTACTCACCAAAAAGGTTAAAAAAGAAACAAAACTGTGTCTTTAAGGAGACCCAATAAAGAATCCAATCCATGCCATAAGCAGGAATTGATACACCACCTTATTAGCTAAAAATATATATAACAAAATATGAATAATGTTTAAAATCTGTTTTAAATTTAAAACAATGAATTGAATGCTCTAAGAGGCTCCTACAGGCACTCTAGGCCACTCTCAGAGACTCCCAGGAGTTGTTGAACTATATTTGGAGAAAACAGCCACTGAATATTATCAATTCTCCTTTAAAGAGAGTTTGTAAGGGGGGAACATGCATTTTATCAGACAGTTTATCCAAAGCATTTCAGAACATGAGTGCTGATGAGGGCATCTCTTGTGCTGAGTCCCCTCGGCTATCAGTGTTCTTCTCAAGGACACATTTGGAAGGTTTTAACATTGAAAGTGAGCGGAGGACTTGGGGGCAGAGCAGCGCAAAGAAACAGCCTTACACTGGGCACATGAAGGAGACTTCCACCCTGCAGCCAGGACTGGGGTTCACGCTGCTGCCAGCGCTACACTCGCCTTCTGATTCCACAGTCCTGTTAATTCTTAGATCAGAGAGCAAGAAAAAAGTACACAACATATCCTCTAAGCTTATTTCCTGCTTTCTAATTTAAAAAATAACAACAATGGCAAGAGAGAAAGAAAGAAAAAGTACTCAGAGGCTGACACTGACATTTCACTTCCTCGCTCTCCTAAGTTTAATTACAACAGCACGTGCAGCCACGTCAGCCAAATGACTTCATTTCTGATGTGAAAACGCTTAGGTCATGATGTCGTTTATTTTCTGTAATTGCTGTCTTTTCTCGTTCTGTTAATAGTCCCAGCAACCAGATTTCAGTGGGGCGTGACGTGAATGTGTACACGGTGATTCAAATGCAAAATGTGTTTATGGAGCTTTTAATCGAAAGCGTGTGTGCTTGAACATTCTTGCTCAAGTAGATGAATCATGGGGTGGAATAAAAGGCTTAGGGACCCTGGTTTTTCACTTTAGCAAAGGGGCATGGAGTGCCTACTATGTGCAAGGCATTGGGAGGGGCTTCGGAATTTTTCTGGATATCGTCATTTTGCAGTGTGAATAATTTTGCCAATCATTGCTTTCTCAGTCCCTGCTAAGTGGTGACTTTCTAAAATATAAGTTTATTGTAAAAGTGACATGAAAATTACAACAGATATTCCAAACCAAAATAATACAACGATCCCAGCATCTGATTGAGTCAGTGTTTGCTGTTTCCCCTGTACTTTCCTAGTTCTTAACCATTTGCATATATAAACGTTCATATGCGCAATAAAAAAGGTGTACTTTCATATTCTAAATTTTTACTTAACTTCATTCAATGCTTTTTACTCATTTTTCTATACCCTTTTTTTTTTTTTTTTTTTTTTTTTGAGGCAGAGTCTCATTCTGTTGCCCAGGCTGGAGTACAGTGGCATGATCTTGGCTCACTGCAACCTCCGCCTCCCAGGTTTAAGCAATTCTCATGCCTCAGCCTCCCAAGTAGCTGGGATTACAAGTGCCCACCACCAAGCTCAGAAATATTGTTTTTGTGTTTTTGGTAGAGACAGTGTTTTGCCGTGTAGGCCAGGCTGGTCTCGAACTCCTGACATCAGGTGATCCACCCACCTCGGCCTCCCAAAGTGCTGGGATTGCAGGGGTGAGCCACCATGCCCTGCTTACTCTTTGTTTTCTTTCCTCCCCACCCATTGTCCCTAGTCCCGCCCCCTCCTTCCAGCCTCCACCTTAACTGTGCTCAGATACATAAGTGAGGGTTTTTTAACTTGATTATGCCTTTTAAAAGTACTATGTATGTAAAATATTTATTCACCTGCAATTTGGCTTACCTAACTTAACATTGCATCATGAAACTCTTTGGAACAACAGCTATCTAGATAGCTGGCTCATGCTTTTGGATTGCTATATAATCTCACTTAATACAGATGTACGGATTGATTGAATCATTGCCTGTTGATGGGCCTTCAGATTACTTCCAGTTTTTTGCCACTGCAAACAATAAACATCCTTGTACATGCTACATTGCAGTCTGGTAGTTTTGTTTCTGTGGAATAGATTCACACGTGCAAATTTTCTGGAACAAAGCCCGTGTGTAATTTAAATTTTACCAGCCATGACCGGGTTATGTTCGCACATAGCTGGAGCAAATCCTATTCCCACCAGCTGTTTATGGCATTAATTTGGAACAGTTTCTGTCATCTAAGCATGAGAAGCCACCTTTTCTACAAATGTTGCCTAAGCATCTTCTCTCTTTTGCAAATGGCACACCTAAAGCTCTCTAAAACTTTTGGCCATGAGGACCATTTGAAAATCCTCCTAAAACTGTTAGCAATTCTCATTCTAAACCTGGTCCCTGGCCCAAAACATCTGCCTGAGAAGCCTGGAAAACAGGCAGTGAGTGGACGGGCTTCCAACTCAGAGGGTGGTGTGTCTGCACAGCTCCACACACCCCAGCCACTGGGAAGGCTTGAGGTGAGGTTATGCCCTGGCCTTTTTCCTGACTTTTACTAAAATTACACATGCAAGTATTTGCATTCCAGCCAGAATACCCTCTAGATCCAAAAGCTCAAAAGGAGCAGAGAATTGAGAACACTATTAAAGTAGCCCATGCTGTTCCTCCCCTCCAGGCTCTGGCAGACAATCAGCGTTTTCCTGGAGCCCCTCACACCCCACCTTGCTTAAGATATGCCTGACAGTGTCTAGAAACTCCACCCTCTGGTCCTAATAGGGTGTCCCAAGCAGTGGCCTTAAGTTTGTCTTGAGCTGCCCGCACTCTCTACCTCAAGCTTTCTGACAACAAGTGACTGGATTGGGGTGGTGGCTGACCGGGTCAAGGACTCCAGGCCCTACATGGTACCTATGATGTGGACACATCTTGTTCCTTCACCCAAGACTTTTTTCGTCATGGCTGTAGATGGATGGACACGTGTACCCTAAGCTGTCTCTGTGTTGGTGCATGGCACATCCACATCCTGAGTCTACCAGGGTCTCTACTGAAATGTGACAGCAGGGCTCGTGTGCCCTCGTGTAAGCAGCACTGTCACAGACCACACCTGCCAGGCGAGTGATCAAGAAGACTTACACAGACTTGGCATCATGACCAGTTTCAGTTTTTCCAGCTCAGACACTGCTCTGTTGAGGAACAGACCTCTTGGTGAGCCTGGCTCAGACCAGAGGCTAAGAGTTTGCTGTCTACCCAGAGACCACGAGTCAGAGATGAGCGAGGGCCTCCTCCTCCCTTATCCTCAGTGCTGGCAGAGGACCCCACTTCAGTGGGCATCCAGCTTCCCCAGTGGAAGAAAAAGGAGCCCAACCGTCATGCCTCTGGGAATGCATCCCTACAAAATGGGAATAGCTCAGATATTTCCTGCAAAAATGAGACTAAAATACTATGCCTTTGAGAAATCTCAAAGCACATTCCAGATCATCCAAAGACTGCCCCGGAAAAATAGACTCAGCTGTTTCCTCTGGCAAATGGGAGCCTTCCCCTGGGCCCGTGGCTTTAGGGAGCCTCACTTTGGAGCAGGAGCATGCACGGGGAAGCGACCGAGATTCCACCCCCAGAGCACTAAAGCCCCAAGGCCTCCCTCCCACACTGAGCCCCAGACCCCAAATAGAGGGTAGGGGAATCTGTTCCTCTGGCATTGGGTGAGAGGCCTCAGACTGAAATGAGCCCCATGCACTGACCATGCCCCTTCTAAAG